CCTTCATTTCCTGGGTGATTTTGTAGTTCCGCAAATTTGTCGGAAACCGAAAAATGGACTGCGTAAACACCAAGTGACCCGAAAAATTATGAGCCTAAAAGCTTCTTTAAAAGTGTGACGATTCGCACGCTTCCCGAAAACACTGACACAAAAATTACTGGATTGGCGCTGTTTCAGGTATAAGGCTTGGTATGCCCCCAGCAAGAAGTGCAGATGCCCCATGTTGCAATATACCAGTGCCAGGATTAGGGGGAATGGGGACAAGCAAGATGTGATTCTATTAGATTCGATCCTTTAGTTTCGAAATCGCATCTACAAATTTTGCAGTGATTCTCTCAGCCCGCGCACACCTGGCACTGGCAAATACGGTTACACAAAACCAAGTGAAGTTGAATGGCTCCTTCTAGAACAGGGTATAGCACCGCTGGGAGAGTCCCAGCGGAGGAGGAGGGGAATCATACTTGGTCAGTGGACAATGAAGTATATATCTAGAACTGAGAATTTTCTCCAGATAGAGGCAATAATTAGCCGATTTTTGATTTTTCGTGCTTCACGAGCGCTGTAACCGCCGCTTGGAATCCCGGGGACAAGTAGTTGCAATAGACCTGCAGACAAGCCACGGAGTGGAGGCGCACTCAGAATGTTTCAGGGACGTGTCTAGAATGCAAAGCAACGTGCTGGCTACCAGGATAATTTAGCTACCTTTTGAAATTTTCAGAAAGATCACTGAGAAAGGGACACCGTCTTTACGAAAAGCTTGCCAAATGTTGCTGTACAATGAGGTAGTCCAAGATGATTTTTGTCTTTGATCTGAAAGCACTTTTCTAAGCTCTGGTGCGATCTGTCTTGAGATTGAGGATGAGGTGAACTAAAATTGTTTTGTCACAGTTTGACTATCTTGCATAGCTGGAGAAAAGCGCCCAAGTCCAGGATATGTCTTCAACAACACTCACAGGATTACCGAATTAGCACAATACAAGGTCACCACCATTATCATTTTAGAAGAATTTCAGTTTTCCGCCGATGCTCCAGATTTTGCAAGGTTAAACGCCTAATAATCGGATAAACAGCCACAATCGTCCTTTGGAGGCGGGCAATCGCGACTATAAAAGGAAAGAATTACTGCAGAACAACAGCACAATGTTCGAGGAGAAACTCATCATCGGTGTGGCTTCGGCCTTTTCCATCCTGACCATAGCCGCATGTCTGATCGTGATTCCATCGCTCTACAATACCATCAACGAGATGCACGATCAGGTCCTCGAAACAGTCTCTAAAAGTCGTCGGAATTATGGAGTTAGTCCGATGTGAATTGTGCCTTTGATGGTAGTTCCGGTCAAAGTTAGTTAAGTCTTATGAGGAAATCTATCTATACATGGTGGTGAGGTTATCTCCCTTGGATTCACTTTGACTTCTGCTAAATGTGTTTCCGATGTACAGACCGAATGCGAATGCGGCCAAGTTCAAACTTATCATTAATAGAGCTTGCGGAAGTCCGAGCAACAAAACATCTCCAACTTAGCATCCTAGAACAATTTCAGTTTTTGTCGTTGTCAGTGCTCTAGATTTGGCAAGGTTAGACGTCTTATAATCGGATAAACAGCCGCAACCGCCCTTTGGAGGCGGGCAATCGCGACTATAAAAGGAAAGAGTAACCGCAGAACAACAGCACAATGTTCGAGGAGAAACTCATCATCGGTGTGGCTTCGGCCTTTTCCATCCTGACCATAGCCGCATGTCTGATCGTGATTCCATCGCTCTACAATACCATCAACGAGATGCACGATCAGGTCCTCGAAACAGTCTCTGTGTTCCGCGTCGAGACCGACTCCGCCTGGACCCAAATGATGGACTACCAAGTCGCTGTCGCACCTCCATCGAAGCCCCGTGAGAATCCATTCAGCTCCATCTTCCGTTCGAAGAGACAGGCTGGTCTTCCGTCTTACTGCCAGTGCACGACTCCAACGGTCAGATGCCCACCTGGACCACCTGGACCTCCTGGACGTCCTGGAGCACCTGGTAAGTTCTCGTTATGCATTGTAGTAGAATTTATATTTATTTAAATATGCAGTAGAATTTAAAGTGAATGCTCTGAATTGCAGGACAGCCCGGAGGACCTGGTCAACCTGGTAGAGACGGCACTACCAATATCGTTCCCGTCAACTGCCCTGGCCGCAGCACCGCTTGTGTTCAATGCCCAGCTGGACCGAGAGGACCACCGGACCAAGTGGAGCTCCTGGAAACAGAGGACCTAATGGCAACCCAGGACGTCCTGGAGGTCCCGGAAATGCTGGTGGTCCAGGTCCCGCTGGACCTCCCGGAGACAGAGGAGCACCAGGAAACCCTGGACCCGCTGGACAGCCTGGACCGCCTGGAAGACCTGGTACCAGTGGAAGAGGAACTCCTGGACGTCCAGGACCTGCTGGACCAATTGGAGCTCCAGGAAAGCTGGAGGACGCGGAAACAATGGTGCACCAGGAAGACCAGGAGGACCTGGTCCAGCTGGTCAGCCAGGAGGACGAGGAAACCCTGGAAGAGATGGTCAACCTGGAAGAACTGGAAATCCTGCACGTCCAGGAGGCGATGCTGCTTATTGCCCATGCCCACCTCGCTACGCTAAAGCCGCTGCTCGTGTCTGAACTTCCATTTAATAAATATTTCAATCTCTGCAGTTGTTTCCCGAACCACCAGAGCGGACCTGAAAAAAAAACGATTGCGTACTATAGATACTTTAAAGGATATCCCAGGCAAAATCTTGCAATTATTCTCTTGTAGAAACAAGGAGAACCGCTTTTTTGGATTTACTACAGCTTCCATATAACAACTGAGAACTCTTGAATGGCGTCAGTGTTTCACCTAAAAATCCCTAGAAATGTAAAATCACAAAAATTCGCCAAGCTTAGCCGTGCTAAGGACGAGTGGAGAGGAAGCAAGCTGACCAAAGAATTTCAAGGTGACGTGAACTGCTAAAGGGCTGAAAAGCTGAACCCCTGAGAATGTTGGAGCAGCACAATTTATCCTCGGTTACACCCATTTTTATTGACGCGCCTCCTGAGGCAACTGAAGCTGAAGTGAACGCCATCGAGCCGCAGCGCCAGTCAGACATCCTCCTAAAGATGTCACCACCCGGGACATCAGTTACCCACATTACAACACGATGATGGCAGTAACACGTGCGGCGCGGGTTCAAGGCCCTATTTATTGGGTCATAGGAAAGAAGTGACTGATGCATAATACACGAAAGCTCTTGCAGCATGAAAAGCAATTTGTGATCACTGAGCAGTATTCCATGCCGTTGCTAGTACAGTTTGCGTCTGCCATCCGATGGTACTCATTCAAGGGGCCTATCGAAGGAAGGGTGCAGTTCGGCGACGGGGGAAGCATTTTGCACTTTCGTTGCTCCACTAGTTCCGGTTTGCATAGCCCACACTGATAAAACCTGCGTGAACTCCTGTGAACCATGGTGAAACTTGTTAACTCACGAAAAGGCTCTCTAGATGGGTTCACACGCCGATGAGAAGTAGCAAAAGTTAGAAATGCCCCCCCCCGTCGCCCAACTGCGGCCAAAGGCAGTGACAGCCAAACCAACTTTACCACGAGAAGCTACTCTCCTCCCTTATGGATTTGGTTATCTGATCTCCAGTCCGGGTATCTATTCAAGCTGTTCAGTACAATAAACGTTCACCATTCATGTACAAGCAAGCATCATGGGCACGATGGCTAGGGGCGGATGATCACTGCCTGCGTCAATGGTGAAAGGACTATGAGAGGGCGTTTGGCCCAACCCCATTCAGTCTTTCCACCAATTACTTTTTCAGCGACACCCCCCCCCCCGCCCCGCCCTCCCTCACCCCCTCCCCCAGCCTTGAAGCCGTGCTAAGCATATAGAAGGAGCCCCAAATAGCCAGGTAAAATATGCGCGGTCGATCCACCAATCCACGGATTGATTCATCCTCTAATTGAGAAAATAACTGGAATAATTTGAAAAATAATTGAAATAATAAATAATTGAACCACAGGCACTCTTCACCTGCAGCATCCTTTCAACCTTTATCACCGCAAGGACTGGATCTCGCCTTTCGCTTGCACGGAAGTTTGGCCTTCCACTCATTCCATTCACTCACTTTATAAAACCATCTTCTAAGGTAAAGGCTAAATAGATGAAATATTGAATTCATCGCGTAAACTAAACATGCATATGAGTGCTGGCACGAATCTAAAAGAAGGTTGGAAGTGTAGCGCGGTCCAAAGTGGTCTGACCCAGAAAGCATGCTGTGCTTAATCATTATGATGAGCGATTGCCAAATTGAAGTGCTTGAATAAAGACCCGAACTAGAGCTTCGGTAACCTCATCTACATAGGAGTAGTTAACTTCTTGTGTGTTTCTGCCCAGGCATCCGAGGTAGGCTCCTAAAACGAGTGCAGTTGGATGTTTCGGAGCAATATGTACGTTTTGTAGAAGTAGTAACGGCCTAAAATACTGCTCAGTAATCGCGAATTACTGCTCATGCAAGCGCATCCATGTATTAACGCATTAGCCACTTCTTTACCATGACCCAGTAAGGAAGCCTTGAGCCCGCGCCGCACGTATCTTCTGCCATCATCGGGTTGTAATGTGGGTGACTTATCTTCTGGGTGATGACATCTTTTGGAGGACGTCTGGAAGGCCGTTAACCTCTCATGGTGTTCGCTTCTGCACCACATGCCTCGCGGTCACGTTTCACGTCCGTTAGGACGATGAAAAGTCCCCGCAAAGCAACGAAGAAAAAACACTCCCTTCCAAGGAGTTCATCAGGAAGGAAAGTCCTCTCAGTGTTTTTTGGAAAGCTTACAGTTTTTGGTT